GATAGCGTAGCGGATAGCGAAGTGGCCACTATTGACCAAATAGCGGCCACTAAAATATTTATATATATATATAGAAATTTAATAAACAGAATAATGGACCTAATAACAAAAAAGGCTTTCAATGACTTAATAACTTAAAGGAAACTGACTTAATAACTTAAAGGAAATTAAGACAATTCCAAATGACCTTATAACTTAAAATGACCTAATAACATAATACTCTCAAGTAAATAAAGTCATAACAATCAGAAAAAACAGAGCTATAAGACAATAAAATAAAGCACAAAGGCAGCTGACAATTCCAATTCCTAAGAATTAAGAATTTAAAATTTATTATTTAAGAGAATCTAATAATCCTCACGCCTCTCTTCAGCTTCCAGTCTGGTTAAATGGACAGAATTTGAAACCAGCAACCATCTTAGGATTCATTAAAAAGTTTTCTACAATTTTTTATTTACATGCATACAAAAAGAAAAAAAAAAAATCAGCAAGAGAACAGAATCATAGAGCTTAAATACTATAAAAATCAAAGCTTTTCTTTTGGCCCAAATAAAAATCAAAGCTTAAGTGCCAAAAAAGGGGGCATGGAAATCTTCTAGGCTTTGCAAGGTCAGGGGCATTGAGTTTTGGGCATCTGCAAAATGTCAGTGGTGTGGGCAACTGGAGTGGTGACGAGGTTGATTGGTGCCAGGGCTTGGATTGCTAGCGACAAGGTTGATTGCATTAGGAGGTGTTTTGCGGGGTTGCTGTTTACTTTTGCTTTGCTTCTGCAATGTCAGTTGTGAGAAAGAGGCAGAAGACAGATCAGGTCGAGATGAGATTCAGGGTTAATTTGAGTGTTTTATTGCTTTTTTTTTTTTAATTAAATAAATTAAAATGACAAATTTACCCTTAAAAATGAATTTAATTTGCTGAAATGGGGTGATTTTAGTCTTTTAGAAAGGAAAGTACAATAGCATGGGTAGCGAGAGCCATCCACTCCCTAGATTGCGGCCACTATAGTGTCTGAAGCAGACGCTATTGGCAAACCACCACGCTATGGCTGTTTTCATAGTGGCAGCCCCTATGAGCGCCACGCTATGGCTGCTATAGCACCATAGCAGGCACTATTGACAACACTTACAATATTCCCCATTGGTCCTTATGTATTGTTTTCTTTGCAACATTAGCAATATGATCTGTTATGCGCTGCATTTTAAATGGTTGTTCTTATAATGCAAAAAGTTAAAGGATTAAAATACACACTAGCAAATTTATGGATGACAAGCTTTTTACAACTACAACACCAGTGGGAACTGCATCAACATACCTAAATATTTCCCACTTTAGACATTGTTTGGGATTTCCAAATTGATTGCAGATTCTCACCAAATTTCAACAAGAAAGTAGCAGAAGCATCACATACAGCTCTTAACAAGTAATAAATTGAGCAAGAACCCAGAAATAATACCTCATAGCACGATATAGGGGGCGGTACCACATAACATAACCTCCAGGAACCCCAGATATGAAGTAGATAATGGCAAGAAACCAAATGGTTGGACCTAGAAGAGAAGACAAATTCTACAGATGACACAAGAAACACGATAATAATATACTAACTTTCACAACCAACCTTCTCCCTTGATCCAGGCTGTGGTAACAGCCATAATGTTCCACAAAAGACACAAAACCAAACCTGCAAAATGTCCAGAAAATTTTATCTGAGTGACAGGCAGTAGACAACCTTGACTGTTTTGCGTTCAAACATTACCAAAAGAAAAGAAAACATTACACAGAAAACCAAAATGAAAGAAAGAAGATATGTGAAAAAGTGTCAACAAGAAAAAAATTCTCAACTTATGCATCTTATAAAGGTAAACATGACATTAAACAAAAAGTATAATTACAGTAAAAATACAAAAAAATAATAATAATAAATTTGCTAAGCTAATTAAAAGAAGAGTTATCCTTTCAATTTAAGTTGCAAAACATGATTACTCTCAAAGAGACCAAGCAACAGAACCAGCAGCATAGATTCATAGACATAAGGGTGCACTACATTTGTGATAATACCTACTACCTAGGAACAAATTAAATTTATGAAATGCTAAACCACACTCAAACTTTGGCTAGAAGAAGATATGCCATCTAAGGGCAAGGGGCATCAAGATGTCTAATAATGGAAGAAGAGTTTAATTCCAAAACCCAGGCACTGGAACAATTAAACAAGTAAACTCTTTTCCAAAGAACTGCAACTCAAAAGTCATCTTACCTAATAATGTTGTGAATGCAACATACAGCATCTTTTGTAGGTGAATTGGTATTTCATTTGAAATATCATGATGGATGATAGGAAAATATGGTGGCCAATTTTTCTCCTCTATTACAATTCCAGCTGTCAAAACAAACAAAAGCAAAAGCAAACATTAAAATCTACTTGGCAAAGCACAAGTTCATCAAGTCATCAACACACCCACACACAAATGCACACATGCACACATGCGCACATGCACCCACACACAAAACTGGACATACCCCGTGCTATTGAATCTTCCCTGCGTTTGAGTTCCTGTAAAAACAAGAGAAGATGATACACAATTACCATGATATTAATTTATTCTGAAAGCAAAGCAAATAGGTAGAACCAATCTCCAGACTTCAACGGTGAATTATGAAATTAAAGATTTAGGGATTACATCAACCAATCCTAGCATTCAGAAAACACAACAAAACAGATGACATAAAGATATTTTACAGATTTTTCCAAAAAATCAAAAGAAATGATTAAATTTGACCAATTTTCAGAAACAGAGCGTCAAAGATATGCATGCTTATAATCACAACCTGCAATAGCAATAAACTCCAAAATGATTCCTCAAACAAATTGTAACCTAAGAAAAACTAATTTATCATCATCAGTCAATGATGGATCTTGTCAAAAAATACTGTCATATAACAACAATCACCTGTTCCCTCCTTTTCAATTCAGCCTCTTTTGCTTGGAGTTCCTTCTCCTTTGCTTTCAAATCCTAGAGTTGAGAGGCATGTGTGAAAAGAAATATTTTGCTCAAAACAGAATTCAGGAAATCGTACCAGGACATTCAACATCTTGATAGTTTCAGGATACCTTTGTGGAGTCAAGAGGAATGTCTATAGTAGCACCACGATCATAAGGTTCAGGAGGAAGGGGTGAAAGCCTTGATGTTGCAGGGGGGACGCTTCCAGGATTCTTGAATTTAGCAAGAATAAAATAAAAAATAAATAAGAAAAGGAAAAGGTGTAAGATAATAATATAAATGCCAAAACAGGATTGGTCAATTAAGAAGGAAAAGGAAAGCACAAATTCATGACCACATGTGCCTAGGAAGAAACTAAAGCAGTTAAAACCGTGACCATTAAATTCCAGAAAGCTTTCTTTCATGAATCTGAACTGCAAAGACAGTATAGAACTTCTTTAAGGGAACAACAAAAAGTTAAATATCAAGATTTATGCAACAAGTTGTCTATGATGAGGATTTGATAAGCCGTATTCCCAAAAATTAGGATATATATGACTTTTGAGCCATTTCAAAATTCAACCACTTTAAGGGAAAAGCAAATTTATATCAGCAATCCTTCAACAAATCCCAAGAACTAGAAGTAGAGGAAAACAGAAAATTGAATGTGAGAACATACTGTTGTATAAAAGGCACCTCCACCATAATTTGATTGTCCACCTCCCTTTCTAACTGCTGGGTCCTGAAATAAGTAAAATGGAACCATGGAGGATATGAGAAGTGAATCAGTAATATGAAAACAATTCCTTCACCAAAGCAATAAGCTCACATACCTGCCTTACATATTAAAAAGAAGGGACATTTCATTATATGGTTGACTCTTTTCATTCACACATGTTATTGTATGCTCATTTAATGACAAGTCATGATTATAAGCTTACAATCCTACGGGCATTATAACTATAGCATCGCCCTTAAAAGCATAACATATCTACCTTGTTTATCGTAGCCAAAGATAATAATGTCATTATTTGATGTATATTATACTTCAAAAATTCGTCACAAAATCCGATGTTCAGAAAAGTTCTTGCCTCTAGGATTGTTACATCAATGGTTAGTATGGTTTTCAAATCTTAACCCCTTCCATCGTTAAGTCCTTCACAAAATGAAACCCATTGCAGCTCCATTCTAGTTTTAATTTTAATTCCTTTTCCAGCAAACAAATATAGCGTTAATTCCGGAATGAACAAAATTTTCAGAAGGACAAAGCTTCTTAAACTACATTAGAGAAATCAGCAAAACTTTTGAGTAAAATCAGAGCATTTGCAACCAAATCAAACAGATCTATCAATTAATCCAACCAACCATCCAGATCAACAAAATCTGTCGATCAAATCTAAAAAGAACAAACCGCATGAATCCATATGTAAACATTTATATAAAATGTGATTGTAACTTACCGAGAAAGGATTGACCTCCTCTTCTTCGAAGGGATTAGAATCGTAGCGACTCATTGCTTTAAAGAAATGCTGCTTCTGATGTTGAAAAACGGGGAAGAGATCTGGATGTCAGAGATTTGATTTGAAAACAGTTTTAAAGGTCAGGGACGAGAGAAAGATTGAGAGGAAGAGGGAGAGAAGAGGAGAGAATCAGTGATGGGAATGTATATAATGTCTTTTTTGTATTATCAGAGGCCGTTTGTTTCTCGGGAAATTTTATACAGGAAAAGGAAAATGAGCGGACAGTTTTCGCGGTTGGCTTGGAGGTTATAAATACAGCGGTCGATAATGGGTTGGCTTAACTGAGCCCATTTTAGTTGACTCGGGTCGAGTTTTATTAAGCAAGTATTAGTATTAATTTTTTTTTTATCAGCAAAACAAGCAAATATTAGTATTAATGAAATTAAATAACTCTATCATTGAATACAACACACACAAAAAAATAAAAAATAAAAAACAAAAAATAAAAAAATCTAATTCTATCTAGGAAGAAATATTTTCTTTTAACGTTAGTCTCAAATTTAATTTTAAAATCTACTATATAAAATGACACTTATTAATTAGTAAATTTAATTTTAAGTTAAGTACATAGGGTATTATTAAAAGTGTTTTATTCACTTTCAACAAATTAAAAGCTAAAATTAGAAATTTTTCATAGTAATAATGAAGATCTAGTTGTTTTTGTTTAAATTGTCATTAAATTCAAATTTTAGGATAAGGGAATTTATAATTGTTTTAAGTAAAAAAGTTGTCATTAGTGTGAGAAAAGAAAAAAATATTCTTAATAAAATACAAATATATAAATAGAAAAGTGAGTATAAGTTTGTATTATAAAAAATTTAGTGGAAAAAATTTCAAAATTATGTTATTTTAATAAAATTTATTTTAAAAATTAATATATTCTAATTATTTTTAAAATAAAGATAAAAATATTTTTTTGTATTACTTTATTAAAATGATATAATTTTAAAATATTTTTTAATTTAATTTTTTTACGGATCCTAAATGTTAATCTCATATATAAAAATTTATTAATGATATCTTTACATTTTCTTACCTCAACTAATATTTTTCTTCTGTTGTAAAATTCATGGTAGACAAGCCAAAAATAATAATAATAATAATAATAATGAAATATGGTTCTAGTTGTAGAATGCAATGTTGAGGACTAGAAAGTCCCATTCTTCGGAATCCCAATACCATGAAAAAATGGGAAACAGTATCAGAGGAAGCACGGCTTGGAAAATGGGCAAAAACCAACATTGGGCTCCTCACCTTACGAAGTTGGTAGTTTTTAGCCCCTCATCTTATAACATGACATTTTAAGCCTTTTCCTTACAAACTTGGTAGATTTTAGCTTCTCACCTTACAAAATTGGTAGGTTTTAGCTTCTTACCTCACAAAGTTGATAGATTTTAACTATTCACCTTATATTATGACATTTTAGCCCATTACCTATACGAATTGAAGAAAATAACCCTCATCTAATATTAAGTTATAACATTCTGTTAGTTCTGTTAACTAATTGTTAATATCCGTTAGCATCCGTTATAGAAAAACATGAAATTTAAATTCAATTTTATATGTTAGTTCTGTTAACGGAATGCTTATGGATGCAAATAATTAGCTAACCGAACTGATAATTAGCTAACAGAATTAATAGAAATATTATAAATTGATGTTAAGTGAGGGTTTTTTTTCTTCAATTCGTATAAATATGAGGTTAAAAGTGTCATAATATAAAGAAAAGGGTTAAAATTTATTAATTTTATAAAGTAAAAAGTTAAAAATGTTATATTATAATATTAAAAATTAAAACTTATCAATTTTATAAGGTGAGAAACTAAAAATTGATTTTAAGCCGAAAAATGCAGCTGGCCTGCTATTGGGGTTGCTTCCAACCCCTTTTTTTTAACAGTGCAGGGTACGGCCATTCTTGCAAGCCAAGTGTTTAAAATAAAGAATAAATTAATTAGTAATAAATAGTTTTCGAAGTTTTTAAAAAAAATGTGGATTTGAGTTGACGGTGATGGTTACCAAAAAAATAATAATAATAATTTTTTTTGTGAATAAAAAGAAAGAAGTTGGTAGTGATAACTTCTACAAAGACACTTTCTTCATTTCTTCCTTTCTTTTTTTTTTTTTTTTCGGAATAATAATAATTAATTTTGTATTAATAAAGAAATAAAGTAAAGATAATGCAACTTTACTCTAATTTACAATTTTCATATATTACAAAAATTATATTCCCTAAATAAGACATATTCAAAACTTAGCAACATAATCACAAGTGTAGAATATTTTTAAAAAATAATCCCGAAAATTAAGAAATACATAACTTTAAAGAAAAAAATAGAATCATCATTTTCATGTCATTGTTGCACAAAATGAAATAATCATTTCAACATTAAAATTTATAGTGTGTAGCATATAAGAAAATTACTAAATGGTCATTTTTTTTTTTTTTTGTCAAGACTATCGGTGTATTTGACATTTATCATTCAGTCTCAACTTAGGTGCCATTAGTATTAAATTATTATAGAGGTTGAGACAAGTCAAATCAAATAATCCCACACCCACAAGTCCATACTTAATACAAAGCCATCACAAACCTTACAGTGAGTTTGAACTGGGAGATTCGGAAAGAGAGGAGAATGAAAAGAGAAATGTCTCTTTTTTCCTGTTTAGATTACTTTATTAATAGAGGGAATGTGGATGGAGTGATGATGGAGTCCTTCTACTACTCTAGTTTCCATTCCCAAGTTAAGAAAAATTTTATGAATTTTTGTATATCTTTTTAATTTTATTAAAAAAATAAATATATAAAAATATTTATTCAAATTATTAATTAATTAGTATAAAAAATTTATTCTATTTTATTTTATTTCTTAAATTATGTAATTAAATAAAAATATTATCTTTCCCTCTTCTCCACTTTTGTCCATCCAAATAAAATTAACATCAATCATTACCTTGCCTTCCCTTCTCCTCTCTTCCCTTATCTTTATTTTCTTTTCCTAGTTTTTATTTAAACAAACCTTTAGAATATGTTTCGATAAAAATTAGTAAAAGAGGAAGAGAAAAGGAGAGTGAAAGATTAGTGCTAATTTTGTTTAAATAGATTAAAATAAAGGAGAAGGGAGGGGAAGATAGTATATTTTATTTAACCAAATAAATTAAAGAAAATTAATTATAAAATTAATTATAATTTTATAATTTTATATATTAAAATTAAATTTAAAATAAAAATTCTAATTACATTTTTGAAAAAAAAAAGTAAAAATAAATCAAATCACTCCAAATTCCCCTTAGTTGGAGAGACTAGAAATAAGGAGTTTATCACCCATCCAGCTCTATCCTTTAACGAGTTTACCCAAACAAAGGGAGTACAAACCTCTCCTTCGCACTCCTCCCCTTCCCCTCCAACTCTCTCAATCCAAATTCACCCTTAGGATATGTTTGGATAAAAGTTAGTAAAAGAAAGGGAAGTGTAACTCCCTAAATCTAACATTGGTGAAGAATTATGAATGAGTTTGGCATATAAATGTGGCGACCAACTACTATTAACAACTTAAATTTTGACCCAAGTCATTTCAGTTGGTATAAAAGTAGTCACCTCTCGCAAGTATGAGCTTGTGTTGACCATTATGGCTAGTGGCAGTATGCACCCCACATCACTTGAAGTAAATATTATGATTGTGGCTTAATGAGCCTAGTTTTGATTGTATTTGGGTTTGATGAAGACATCAAGCATTTAAGTGGAGGAGATTGTAATGCTCCAAAACCCACAACAATAGAGAATTGTGAGTGAATTTTGTATATAAATGTAAAGACTAACCATAACTAATAATTTAAGTTTAAGCTTTTAAGAACCTTAAACTTTGGCTCCAAGAGTGGCTAGACTAATGATAGGACTAGGTCATTTAAGGAAGAGAAGGAAGGAAAAAAGAAGGGAAGGAAATGATTAGTGCTATTTGAATAGACAAAGGTGGAGGAAAGTGTAGTATAATATCTTTATTTAATTAAATAATTTAAAGGAAAATAAAATAACATATAATAAAATTTTTTAATTTTACTAATTAAATAAATAATTGAAATAAAATATTCATATATATATATATTTTAAAAATAAATAAATGGATAAAGGAAATCCATCACAATCCCTCCAAATTGGAGGGATAGAAAGTAGAGAAGTGGAGGGGCTCCATCGCCTTCCTTCTCCTTCCCTTCACTCTCCTTCTCTTCCTGTCCAAATCGCCCAATCCAAACAAATTGTTAGTGTTTCGAAATATTGACTAACAATTTTACTAGCAAACCTCAAAATAGAAAATAGATATTGTCCATATGGGAAAACCAAATCATTGAATTCATCTAGGGAAGATATCATCTGCAGATTTACTCATTGAATATGACCATTTGGATAAAAAATTTAACACAAGAGAAGCAACAAAAAGTCTCACTCCTTTCTAGTGTTGACACTAGAAATTTTTTGAGGGATTCAACTTTCAAAATAATTATATCATCAGATCATGGCATCCTGCCTTATTTAACTACTAGAGAACAACTATTAGTTGACATCTAATCTCTCATCTTGATTTTATCATCTCTCTTGTTTTCTTCTTCCCCCCTTTCTCCCCCTTAGTAGTTAAGGTGAGTGGCTAAAAATGGGAGTTCTCTCCTCTCTTTTGAAGGTTTTTTCTCTCTTTTTTGAGGGTTTCTACCTTGACTTTCTTGATACTTTTTATTAGCATTCAGTCTTTGTCAGAGGATGGCAACTAGAACACAATATTGGTTAGACTTAGTTGTCATGCTTGCTTTGGCTATTCAATGCTTGCTTTGGCTATTCAATGCATGGTTGAGGATGAGTCTCTAGCTAAAGTTTTCTATCATAACCAATTTATCTTCTATCTAGATGGATTATATTGGAATGTTGCTTAATTGCTAAATATCAAGCTCAAGTCTAGCTGTGATATACATGTATGCATTAGATTATTTAATTTTGCATTTTCACTTATTTTATTAGTATAATACCTTTGATGTATTACCTCATTCATGTTAGTCATATAACCCTTATGCTTTTCATATATATCAATGAAATTATATTTTTCATCAAAAAAAGAAAAGAAAAAAAATGGTTTATATTGTCCAATAAACTTGGCAAATTGGTCAAATCAAGTGAGTTCAAATTGAGTCACCTTAGATTACATATTTTATTAGGTTGGGTTATTTTGGATATCGAGTTAAAGGAGTAAATTTATGATCCACCCACATTGATTTTAGATTTGGTTGAATGAACTCAACTTTTTGAAAGATTAAAATTAAAATTAAAATTTTTTAATATTTTCTTTGATTTTCTTCAAAATAATTTACTATTAATTAACTGTCTAATAAAAAAACCTATTAAGTTAATATTAATTTTAGTAATCTAATAAATAATAATTATTTTATATTATTTAATTTTATTATATACTTAAAAATTAAAATCAAAAGTATAATTAATCAAACTTTTAAATTTAAAAGAATTAATTAATTTTAATCAAACCACTTCAAATTAACTCAAATCAATCCTAGCCCAACGTAATCAAATTTAAATAGTTTCAATATAAGTTATATCAAATTCCAAATTAATACTTTAAACATATGACCTAACTTATAAAAGACAAGCTATAGATCAAATATTTAGATCAGGTTTACTTTTACCATATCTATCGTCCAATTAAAATAATTAAAGAAAACAACCATCGACTCCTTCTTAATAGCTAAAAGGAAACTAGCAGTCGGCAAGCGATGTTAAAGAACTGCAATTTTCCAAAAAGGAGTTGAAGCACAAAGACCTGTCTATGCGCACATTCCTCCTTCCTGAAGACTACAGTTTCACATCATTTCAACTAAAAAGGGAAAATTGATTTAGAATAGAAAAACCAAGCATAGAGTACAATGGGACATGCAATGTAATTACCACAAAAAGAATATCATTATCATGAATCAGTGACAGATAACAACAATGAAACAATCAAGGTTAGCATATTTCTGCCAAAACAAGGATATATATTGTTAACATGATTTAATGAACCAAGCTAGGGATGACTACAAATGGTAGATCCAAAGAATCAGGCTCGTCGGAGTTACAGCGCGCTAAGGCTCCTAGCTAATTACCTTCAAAACCTCTCTCAGGCATGAGCTCGGGATGTAAGTTGAGTGTGTTAGTAGGAGCACCTGTCCGCAGCCTCTTTACAGTAGATGTCTCTTCTTGGATCAACATTGGATGGATTGAATCTATGTGCAAACGCACAATTCACAAACTGATATCACTAGTTTTATTACTATGACATAAATTTAGCCCCAATGGATTCATTGCTGGGACCTTCTCTTCGTATCATGTCTAACAGATCTTGGACAACTTCAGACATGGGTGGCCTGAATTCTGGCTCGGACTACAAATACATTATGAAAAGGGAGCAATTTTAGTTTGGAAAATGCATTCGGATTTGAAGACAGATAAACTTTTTTAAACATAAAAGATGTTATAGCTAATGGTCCATAGGAAAAGGGAATTTGATTATCTCACCTGAACACAGCGAGAAATTATATCAGCAAAGTGAGATAATGATTTAGCAGGATACTGTCCATCAAGAGAAGGATCAACCATCCTTGACAATGCATCAATATCATGAAGCTGGGGAATAGCCCATCTTACTAGAAATTGCTCCACTCGGCTCCTTGTTCTATATCCAAAATTTTTACAAGAAAATGTAAATTAACAAGATGAGAAAAGCAGCCAGAACATTACATAAAGAAATAGATGGGTTTATCTCTTTACTTGTCATGTGACTTCCTGCCCGTTAATAGTTCTAGCATGACTACCCCAAAGCTATATACATCACTCTGAGAAGTATAAATTCCAGACTCGAATTCTGGTGCTCCATAGCCATATGCCGTTAGAATTTGTCCTGACAACTGAAAATATAACAGTTCCAGAATAAACACACTATGAATGAACGCAATGGGACATTCTAGCTTAGATCAACAAGTGATTACGTAGGGAACAGGTCACACATGTTTCTTTTCACATTTCTCTTTCTTTATCTTTTGGGTTGGGAGTGTTGAAGCATAGGTTTTTGTCAAGCAGGTCAGCAGGGTCATTTTCTACATTCCTGAATGTTGTTTGTTTGCTGAAAAAAAACTGTTCTTTTCATTCACATAACAATTGCAAAATAGTGACCTGTTAGAATGTAATCCTTCTGTTCTATCAAAATCTGAAAAGTTATTCTCTACCCAATTAAAGTTCCGAACTTCATCACTGCTCCTATTCAGGAAAGAAAAATAAACAAGGAAATAACAAGTTTATGACTTACCTGACTAACCGATCCTGACGATATTAACGGAGCCAAACCACAATCAGATACATGCACGTTAAGTTCCTCATCCAGGAGAACATTGGCAGCCTTGAAATTTCTGTGGACAACAGGTGGGTGGCAAACCTCATGCAGATACCTGTAACATATAACATCAAAAAGATCAGCACTAAAATGAAGCCTACTCTTCAGAAATCTCATTAAAAAGATTGAGCAAAGCGTGCTGCCCACTCCCTCTCCCACAA